AAGGTATAAAATTGTCCTGACCACCAATGCAAACGCCGGTAGGTTTTACAGCGGCGACGTTAAAAGTGACCACTTCACGTACGTCATCATCGATGAAGCCGGGTATTTGACCGAAGCGGAAACTTTGATCCCTCTGGCGGGCGTTTTGACGAACAAACTGCACTCTGGCGAGGTGCACGGCAAGCTTGTGTTGGCCGGCGACCCTCGCCAACTCGGACCCAGGGTCCACTCGAAAACCGCCCTCAACTACGGTTTTGGAGTTTCTCTATTGGAACGCCTCATCGACAGCTGCGAAGTATACCAACCCAAGGATAACGTCTACGACGAAAAGTACGTGACGTTCTTGGAAATGAACTACAGGTCGCACCCGGCGATTTTGCACGTTCCCAATCAGCTCTTCTAGCAGCCGAGGTTAACTTTTCCATGCTTTTCAACGACTGGGAGCACCTGAAGAGACCCGGCTTTCCCATTCTGTTCCACAACGCGCTTGGAGTCGACACCAGGGATGCAAACTCGCCGAGCTTTTACAATCCAGAGGAAGTGAAAGTTGTTATCGAGTACGTCAAAAAGCTTCTAGCCGCGAGGGCTTCCGGTGTTCAAGTGAAGCAAGAGCACATCGGCATAATAACGCCATACAGGAAGCAGATAGAAGTGCTGCAGGGAGAAATGAAGAACAAAAACTGGAGCAAGGTTACGGTGGGCACGGTCGAGCAGTTCCAAGGCAAGGAAAACATGGTGATCATCGTTTCAGCGGTGAGATCCAAGCGGGAGCCGATCGAGTTTGACGAAAAGTTCGACTTGGGATTTTTGAGCAACCCCAAGAGGTGATTTTGGTTGGTAACGGCGATATTCTGCAATACGATAGGTGTTGGAGGAAAGCGTTTTCGAGTAGACCTGTGTAGTTTTACGTAAAACGCTCGGGTGCGTAGCGGGCTTGCAGATGGCAAATGAGGGACAGGCAGCGGCAACAGCAAGGTAAGGGAAATCCCGTGCCCAAGTGCACAACTGTCAATACACGTGTGTTACCTTCGAATCAAAATATTGCTTAAAATAAAATAATCTTCAACGAGACACTATAATTTTTATGTCGCGAGTAAACTTGTCCAGTGGATAAAATAAAATAAAATAATATAATATTTCATTGCATGGCTGTTTGCTACACGTTTAATTCTACAATGTAGCGAATTTCTCATATTTATCTATCCAGAGGTTTCTTAAGGAAAATAATCCTATACGCTAAAGAAGTATCGGGTTTTCGCAACGCTCGCGCCATCTGGCGTGAATTTAAGAATTGTCAACAATACATTTAAAGCACAGATTATACATCATTTTTAATTAAATAGGTAGTTTTTTTCACAAAAGAAGTCTTACTCGACAAATTTTGTTCAATTGCACAGCTAAATCGCGCACGTTATTTGTGTTTTACGCAAGGAAAAAATTAAAAAACTTTTTTACTACTCGATTTCGATTGATTATTCCTTATATCATTGATTAAGAAACTCAACGCTTAAATGTTTATATAGTTACGTTAGTGTGTATTTTGTCAAAGGGATCATGGTGAATTTTTGTGTTTTTAATTGTAAATAAAGTTCAAGAACTAAATCGTTGCATTTTCATGTTTTGCCAAAGGATCCAATTCGGTAAGTACATTTGTTGGTGCAGAATTAACTAATGATAACTTTACCTAATATAATTTATATTTAAGTTTGGACATTTTTAAGAAATTAGTAAAAAATGATTTTTGCACAAACATAACCTTAAAATTAACCATTTTTATGTTTGAGTTCTCTAAAAAACGCCGACAACCGCATTTTAAACAACAAAATATACCTACGAATTCATGGCAATATAACATTATATATAATTTATAATATAATGGTACTTTACCGATGATAGGAGATTTTCTTAATCATGCTAAATGCTGTTTAAATTTAGACGACTTGTTTAACGATTTTTACTGAATTGAAATGTTTACCCTTTTCACGTTAATCACTACTAAAATGTGTATTTATTGTATCTAATCGTCACCTGAGTATTGATTTGTTCTATGTCCAATATGTTATAATCGAAATAAACAGGTTTGAAACTTTTACATTAAATATCTTATTTGTTTTTTAATGAAAACTTAATTAAACATTAATAACAATATTCTTGTTTGGCCTTTAATTAGTTCTATTGAGCAACTCTTATCTGAAATTTGGATTTATGCCTCAATATTGGAAAAAACGTTTTGGAGATAAAACAAAAAGTGCTATTTTTGGATTTTAGAAACAAAATATTTATGACATGAAACAAAACTGAATTAAAAAACACTTTATTTAATAATGATTTACTTTAATAATAATAATTATAATTATTGTCAAAATACAATGCCATTTACATGTAAATAGGTGTACTGGCTAAAGTGGATATAGAACAAAACAATTTTATACCTATAAGGAAGCTTTCCTTGGAGATAGCACAAAACAGTTATAAAATGGATATAGCACAAACAAATACTAATAATTTTCAGATTTTTACAAACACATAGAGCAAAAGAAAGCCTGTATTACTCTATCTCCAAAATTTCGCTTACAGGCCCTGTAAGCGAAATTTTGGAGATAGAGTAAACCAATTTTAAACCTTTTGTACTAAACTCAGATTTAGACTAACCTAAACTAAAAAGTGACACAATTATATCAAAATACTATTATGGAGATGGAACAAACCAACTTCAACTTTCAAAAAATGCATAAACAAAATGGAAAAAAATGGAGATAGCACAAACCAATACTCAGGTGACGTAATAGGTACAATTTATATTTACAGAGACTGTATGCAATTTATTTCTTCATTCAGATTAACACTGTTTATTGGAAAACCGGTAAAAACTCAACCCAGGATTTCCTCTCGAAATCCACCCAACAACACAACAAATCGAGCCACGGTTTGTAACCTAAGCGTTTGACAGCTGATTATTAAAAGTTTTACTTTTGTTACGTTGATAACAGCCGAGTGGTGGCGCTACTACCCACTGGGAAAAATAATATTTCTACAATGTTACAGAACGTTACATTTGTTAGATGTAATGTTACAAAACTCCTTGTGGCAATGTTGCAGGAACATTGCAACAAAGCCTAATGTCCGGCTCAGGAACATTACATTTACAAATAAAATGTTGCTTAAATGTATTAATTGCAATGTTAGTAACACTGACAGACGGACTGTTTCGACCTGTTTGGTCTCATCAGTGTCAGGCAGTCGGTGACGGGAGACACGCATCAAGCTCGACACTGTTCACTTATAAAGATATAAATGACAAAGACAGCGGCGAGATGCATCGGCAAGTCAGTCTGCAAACAACATTGCAAAAATTATCTTAATGCAATATTGCGGATGAAACATAGTCCAAAACTAAAGTTATAATTATAAATGTAATATTATAGTTACAATGTTCCAAAAATCTTGCAAATTAAATGTTTATATTGTTTATATAAAGCAACATTTCAAAAATCATCTTAATGTAATATTTAGGATAAAACATTGCCCAAAACTTATCAATGTAATAATATAATTGCAATGTTTCAAAAATCTTGCAAATTAAATGTTTATATTGTTTATATAAAGTAACATTGCAAAAATCATCTTAATGTAATATTTCGGATAAAACATTGCCCAAAACTTATCAATGTAATATTATAATTGCAATGTTTCAAAAATATTCTCAAACATTTCAAAATAAATGTTTCTATTGTATATTTAAAGTAAAGTTGCAAACATTTTTCATTTGAAACTTGTGTTAATATTTCAATTGAAACATTGAAAAAATGTCTGCAATATTATAATTGTAATGTTTAAAAACTTGTATGCAACATTTTATACTAAATGTTACAAATATAACATTCTAAAAACTTTCCATGTGAATCTTTAAATAATGTTTAAAATTTAAGGTTATTGGAAATTATTATATGCAATATTTCAAATGAAACTAGGGTTGCCAACTTTTATTTTGGGATTTTCTGGGCAAGGTGATTAAAAATTCTGGACACCGGTACAAAATTATGGACATATTTTATTTGAATTTTTTTTTAACTTGGGAAAACACATAACTATTTTTTTATGTTCGTTCCCCATTTGGTGTTTTTTTAAATCGCCTTTGCCACAGTAACCCACTTGAAATGTTTTTTTACAAATTTTGCAAAATCCTCTCGATAAACCAGTGGAAGAACTGCCGTCTTCTGTTACCCATGGAAATTCTACTTCCCATTCTTTTTTATACTTGCACAGACGCCTAATTTTTTTTGGAGGAGTTTCTTGATTTGACAAGGATGACGAGAATGACATAGTAACTAAGTAGGTACTCACTGTCCTATTTTATTCTAAAATTATATCAAACAACTAATATAAAACGTTCTAATAAATTATACAAAAAATTGTCTTACCTTTTAAGAAAACTAAATAGGTCAGCAGCAGCAGTTCCGCAGTATTTCGCACGTTAATTGTCACAATCAAACGATTAATTAAACAAATCGATAATTATCTTAAGACAACAGTCGGTCGGATTGTGGAAAAAATCCTTCGAAAAAATTGAAAAATGTGCCAACGTGAAAATTATGAACATTTTACGTCCAGCCAAAGGTATTGACTGGACGCTGGACAAATGAGCCGAAAAGGTGGACGTCCACCCAAATTCTGGACAGTTGGCAACCCTAAATGAAACATTTCATTTATGTTAATGCAAGTAGCACAGGAAATATTTTATTTGTAAAGTCGACGAACATTGCAGCAATATTTTGTAAGGTTTCTTTCCCAGTGGGTAGCGATTGTTCTTTAGCGTATATTGAGACAAATAACAATGACACCTGAAATTTCTTTAGTTTGGGACATTATGTAAGGTCAGTGCCGGCTTTAGACAATTATTGTATTTTTTGATCAATTTTTTGAAATGTGCCGCCCCTGCCCCGGCACTGGCCGCCTCGCACCTGCCGTCTCCGAATGCGAGAGCGCAAAGCGTAAGACGTAAAGCGGCCCCCGAATGGCAGCGATGGAAACAAAAGCATGTGCAACGCACATCTGTCAACGGCAGCTGACCGATTTCCGATTATTCGTATGGAGCGGCACGTGGAACTGGCGAGAATCGCCGCGTCGAGCGGACAAAGTTCCCATGACGCAGGGTCGAGATGGGGGTTCGAACTTGAGTACTCGTACGCGTGTCGGATGCTTCCACGCTATTGGTCCGCTCGGTGTTTTTTCGAAAGAAGGTGCACCTCGGGAAATCTCTACGGGTTCAGTTTTAATTTTAAGTGTTCGATGCAAAACGTGCGTAGTCTGTGCGTGAAATGAAGTTCCAGAAAAATGAGCCCAAAGGTCAGAACAAAAGGATTCATAGACATCAAAGGGTGAGTTGTAAACTTTGCTATTGACTTAATAAAATTTAATATTTATTTTGAAACCCTTTTACAATTTTTTGATTCATAACTACTTTTTTAAGAGATTTAAGTAAATAATATTTTAGTATTTATGTCATTTTTATATTTTCTTATTAAATTAAATTTTCCTTACAAGAAGTAAAACAAACTCAAAATGTTAATAAAAATATCTAACAAAGAGTACCTACTACCTAGGTTTAATAATTTGATATAGGGGAAGGTGGGGGAATTTCGCGCGGTGGGTAATTTTACGCATAAACAATTCTTCCAGATATGAAGTAAATAATACATTTTTTGAATGTTGCAAACTTGGAAACGTTGCTTTGGGTATACGCAGACTAAAGTGTGCCGCAATTAAGCTTGTAGCTTTTAGCTAGTGACCATGGTCACTAGCTAACTGTGATACATGTACGTTGATCTAAGAAATCCATGTCGTTTCCGCTACGAGTTAAGTTTAAATTTCTGTCCAATCGCTTAAATGTTTATAACACAACTTTATATGATCTTTCCTCGTAATCTGGTGTATGTTTAAATTGTTCAGGTTAACTTTTGGAAAGTTTTTTTAGTATCACAATATTTTTCTTGCATTTTACGATGAAATATTGGGGTAATTTTGCGCTGCAAAATTTGGCCAATATGGGAGCTTTGGTATACAGGAGAATAGATTGTTCAGCATAAACAGTTCCATTTGGGCACACGCGGAGTGTAGCGAAAAAAAAAACCCTAAAACTACATATGTGACAAATGCTGCATGTAGACCCTCTTATTTCTAAGAACAAAAATTTTATTTTTAGTTATTTATTTTTGATTTTGTTTGTTTTGTTTGTTTCATAGAGAAAATAGTTTTGTTTTATTTTTATGTTTTAATATAATAATATTATAGAAATAAACGGTTTATTTAGATACCTACAAATCTTTCTCTATACAGCGCAAATTTTCCCACTATGATGCGCAAAATTACCCACCTATAAGAGTAATTTTGCGCATCATAAATGCATAAATGCATTATTTAAAAAAATGTAGTTTTTGCATACCAAACATTTTTTTTTTATAAATTGCGCATTATATACACATAGTAAACATAGTAGACTATCGCTGGTATTAATTGCAAAATTTCACATTTAAACTTAACAAAGATACTAGAGATTTTACTTAGATGCGCAGAAATCCCCCACCTTCCCCTACACCATTTAATTTAAAGGATTATTGTACTATTTTTAATAAAAATACCTCATTTAAAGTAAAAAAAAACATTATTTTGTAAATTAATTAATTTAATTCTAATAAAAAATGGTATTTTCTTATAAATAATAATTATAACTGAGGTATACAGAAACTATTTATACATAGTTTAGCATTATTTAATCAATTTAGTTTGAAGATTAATTTGCAAACAATAAGACCTCCTTTCGTTAAGCATTTATTCATAATAGATATTTTAACAGTGGAAGAAAAAATAGAAATGATTTTGATTTATGGAAAAGCAGGCAGGAATCTTGATAATGCTGTTTACTACAAACAGGAGTGTTCAACCAAAAAAAAAAGAGTTCGTCGAGCGTATATTTATATAAAAAATATATAAATAAATTTAAAAAATAAAACCAAGTATTTTATTCAAAAATTATTGGAGAATCGTATACAGAAGAACAATCGAACAAAATTGATTTTTTTTCATTACAGCGCCATCTATTACAAATATGAAAAAATGTTTTAGACAAAATCTACCTATTTTTAGTCGAATGTTCCGAATATGCATCTCTTAAATTGTGAACTTTAAGTATAGGGAATAGTTACTTAAATCAAGGTTTTCTAATTTACTATAATATTGTATGATTATATAAAAAGATACCGGGTGTTCTTTAAAATAAGACAGTTGAACTTATTAAGTTAGCCTAATTTACCCTGGGTTTTCTCAGGTAATTTCTTGAAAAATTTTAATGACTTCATTATTTTTGATTGACAAGCATTTGTCAAATTTTAACGAAAAAATGTAATAACTCGAAAACTATTCAGTTTTGGTATAAAATATGTTAAAGTGATTTTACTCAGAATTTTATACAGGATTTAAAAATTTAAAAAAGTGGCATTTGGTTCAAAATATTTTAGAAAAATGGACGTTCCCCAAAATTCTTACCACGAATATGAAACACCCTGTATATTTAAAAACTGGCAAAGCTCTATGTCTGAAACTAAAAAAGGTATGGAAAAATACTATTTAACAGTAAAAAATACTTTTAAAGAGTGTAATTTAAAACATTAAATTTTTTTTTCGTTAACATTAGTAAAAATACTGGAGGATACAAAATAATTACAACAAAAGTATAATAAACCAAAAAAGCATTAATAAACAAATTTATTACTGTGCAATTATTATTATTGAACCATTTAAATCCTAAATGGAATGTGTATGTTTTATCAGATTTATGCTGATTACTTTTAATATTTTTAATAGTAGTGTTCGTTTTCCAAAATTTGAATAGTCAAATTTATGATGAAATGTTAGATGAAACAATACAGCCACCAATTATAAATGATCTAGAAAATCAAGGAGAAAATTTATTACGTTTTCATCAAGATGGTAGGACAGGACCAATAGAATGGCCTCCCAGATCACCATATCAGACATCGTTAGACTTTTTCCTTTAAAGTCTTGGAAAGTTCCACTATTGTTTTTAGTAGTAGTGATTGAAACCACAAATAAAACATATTGATTGGTTTTTTGTCGCGTAAAAATTTATCACGTGGAAAATATCACTTTTCATGACATATTTCTATGGCAGTCGAAAAATAAACAATCTGTCCACCGATTTCAATTTCATGACAGCAGATTCTATTTCAGATTTCAGAATATTAATTTCAGTTTCACATGCGTTATGATAAAACCAATTTTCAATTTACTATAAAAATTACTAATTTTTACATGTATTTTCTTTACTTCAGCAAAGAGACTCGGACCAACAAGTAACAGACATGCTGAAGCTGTGCCTTCAGAAAATCTGCGAGCTTCAAGCCGAAATCAACGACGAGGAAAATGTACACGACGCTGAAGCAGCTGGCTACGCCGCATGCGCAGTAGAGACCTTAAGATTCCTCACCAATCAAGGCCTGCCACCAAGTCACCCCATGGTGAAAACATTGACCGAAAAGTTACTCAAGAAGGACGATTAACAGCCACCTATTTAGCATTTTATACTTTTTATACCAACCTATTTAATGATTGTATTCACTGGTGATATAAGAGGGCTTTTGCCCTTGAAAAACTTACCATAGTTTAAGGTTTATATACATATATTATATCTAGTCGTTTCTACAAAAAATCTAGTCAACTGCATTGTAAATATTTATTTGTAAAAAAAGTAAATAAAGAATTTTATATAATTTTTTTTATTTGTTAATTAAACAAACTATGTACTATGCTCCACACCTCAAAGTCCCACCACGTGACCGCGTACGGAACGCAGTCTTTTGAAAATTTGGCATTTAAGGCTTTTCAGGTTATGTATCTGTCAAAGTACAGTCAACGAAAGAAATAATATTATATTTAGGCGTTAAAAATGTATAAATCTTTATAACATTAGAATAACAATGGATGGTTTAAGAATTTAAGAATATAAATACTGCATTTAATGAAATTCTAAAGTGTATGGTGCCAAATAAGTAATATTTTTGTGCATTTGGTCCAAATATCTGGTTTTCTCCATAAAATAATTTTAACTAAACATTATTTATTTAAAAAAATCTAGCTTCTCTTTTATGGAATAAGAATATCTGTATTAAAGGTAGGTTAATATATTATAACAAAAATATCATCTAATTTTGTAATTTTAAGGTTGGAAAAATTTATTTTGACCAAAATAAATAAGTATTTTGGATTATTTAAAAGGCTGTATAATATATTATACCTATATGGTATTAAAAAATGTGGTAGTTTTTCTTATCCAGCTTAAAGTGTACCTACATAAAGTTTTGTCAATACAAATAGTTAAAAAGCTTCGACTGAATTTGATCTACATCAAAAAATCATTATAACTTTAAAATTTTTAATAAATCACATGACATGGGAGTATTAAATATTTTCACATTGCAAGTTTCTCTAAAAATTGTTTGTTTTCTTATAATCTAACTTTAAGTAAGTATGCCGAGAGGTATGCACAAGTTTTGTCGTTAGAAGTATAAAAGCTTCAATTTAATTTAAACTATATTCAACAATTATTTAGTATACCTATATTTATTTATCACCATATTAACACACTCTTTCAAATAATCCACTTATTTATTTTGGTCAAAATAGATTTTTATAACTTTAAAATACAAAATTAGATGATATTTTTTGTTCTTATACATTAACCTACCTTTGATACAGATATTCTTATTTCATAATAGAGAAGTTAGATTTTTTTAAATAAATGCTGTTTAGTTAAAATTATGTTATGGAGAAATGTAGACCCAATGCACAAAAATATAACTTATATTGCACCTTACACTTTGGAATTTCATTAAATGCAGTATTTATATACCTAAATTCTTAAACCAACCATTGTTATTGTGATACTATAAAGATTTATTAACTTTTAACGCTTAAACATAAGCGGTAACACTATAAATATTATTTCTTTCATTGACTATACTTTGACAGATACATAACCTGAAAAGCCTTAAATGCCAAATTTTCAAAAGGCTACCTTCCGTACGTGGTCACGTGGTGGGACTTTAAGGTGTGGAGCATAGTACCTATATATTTTCAATTGGATAAAAAAATATTGAATGTGATATTTTTAATTAAGATTGAAAGTTTGGACACCCCTGGTATTCCAAACTGATTCTGTCGCTAGATGGCGGCACAATCAGTGTGTTTGAAATAACAGGGGTATCCAAACTCTCAATCAATTTCTCCCATGATATTTTAAATTTATTTAAAAATTTCTAAAAATAAAAATATAACAAACAGATATTTTAAATTCACTAGGTAAATTAAAAACAAAACGGCCCCTATAGAAATCTTATAATAGACCACCCTTATTTAATAAATTGGTTGTAGAACAGATGTTGTGGGTATAAAAGGGGTGGTAATAAAACATGAAGGAATTAAAATACATCTATTACACTTTATTTAAATAAAAATTTATATAAAAAAACTTGTTTTGACTAGCTAATATTATTGCTTTAAGACTAGATAAACCAACTATATACATAAAGAATATGGCACAAAAATTCGTGGAGAACATACATTTTATAATTTGATTTACTAGGCTATTCTAAACTGTGGTATCTTCTTTGGTTTGAGACGTGTAGCGAATGTTGTTCCCCAGAAAAGCTTGCCTAAGCAAAATTCTGTACTCTTTGGTTGTTAAAGCGTCCAAGTTGACATTATTTAAGGATTCCCAAGCCAACTTGCTTCTTCGTACGTTGTTTATCGTCACTTGGGGATTTTCATTGGCTTCTTTACTTTCCATGAAGTTTTCCGCATAGTCAGGCACCATTTTTCTTGTTACTTATCACTAGGTAAAACACAATCTATCGTTTATCAGCACTGTACACTGCAGACCTAACCCTAGTAGAGCTCGACGACATCTGTCAAACGTTGCAGTAGTTTGTTTACTGGGGCCACATTTGCAGAGCACTATTAAAAACAACGGAAGTTTGTGCGGGGGGTGGAAAATCGTTAGACAGACAGATTTCGAACATCTGGCTTTCATTGGGTCGTTATTGTTTTGTGTGCTGCAGCACATGTAGTAAGTAGTAGGCTGTGAGGCACCAGCATACTTGATTCAATTTAAATTTAACGTCTGGGAGTTAATTGACTATATACAGGGTGGGTAAATAACAGAGTTGTCAAATTATAATATATTACAAGAGTTTAACAAGGTTTTATAAAACCGCCATTTAGTTTACTAGTTCTATAATGGGCATATAAGGTTACTGTAAACTTTTATAGGTATATAATTAGGATATATAATTGTTTCTACAAACATTTTATATAACCTTTAGAAACCGTTACCAGTAGGTTTATAAAGGAGTTGAAAAAAAAATATTTAGCATTAAATCGAATGTTTATTTTAAAACCAATATAACTATAGTGTTATTAAAATAGGTCAGGTAACCTTCATAAACTCCCCAAATAAGCTCTTTAAGGGGTATATAAGAGTGATATAAATATTTCTTTAACCAAATTAAGAAATTTAGGTTTTATAATTTGGATGATATAACATTTCTACAAAGAGGTTTGTAAAAAATTAACAAATATTTTTTTACTACAGCTGCTAAGTGTCTAGATATACCAAAAATAACAACATTTCACATAAATATAATTTTAATAATAATAAATTAAATCATAAACAGTTTATTTTTAATTATTAGAAGATATTACTTATAGTTGAATGGCTTCCGGGTTTATAAATAATAGAGCGCTATAAACATTAGTAATTTTGTGAATCATCTAAAACAAAACTTGGTTAAACAAACTTCACAAGGAGAGTAACTTTTCAACCTACCCAAATAAATAAATTGTAGTCTACCAGAAATATATAGGCATTAATTTGTATTTGTTCAACACTGTTAAGCATAAAAATGGCCATTGCTCTACGCGTTGCTACATTCCAAGATTCCCATCTACATCTTTGCAATGCAAAGGTTATACTATCGTTCTGAAAATTAGTTTTAAGGGTATAGGTATATATTTATCAAAGTTTACTTACAAATCCTTGAAAAACAACCCCACAATACAAATAGGTTAATGCAATGATAGCGGATTCAAGCAACATAAGAGTTATTGCTATGGGATTTGATAGTCCTCCGAACTAAAAAAAGGCCATTAAGTAATAAATAAATATGTCAAGAGGAGGTAAATAAAACTTATACTGGGTCGTTCAGTAACTGGGGAATGCGCCTTAATAACACTTATGCTCTTATTGCGATCTTCAAGGTCGCTATAAAACCAAATGCTACTAGCCAAAAAGGGTCTTTAAGATCAGAAGAATCAATATAATTATATTAATGCATTGTCAACTTACCAAACCTAAAATAAACAGTAAACTGATTTGTGATAACATACACCCAAATAAATGGACCACCAGAACATTTTTGTGGGATTCATTGAAATCTTTTGCAACCCTAAAATATGTTCCATGGAATTAATAATCTATATAACCAAAATATGCTATCAGCTTACAGATTAAGCTTAATATGATAATCCACTGCTTTGCATATCGTTCTATATGCTTGTCTTTGATATGGCTCATAATCTACTAATTGTTCTGCCTTGATGTGTCGAAAATTCTCTCCAATTTTTTCCAATGAGTCATTAATAAGCATGTACTGAATTTGTAGAAAGGTTGTAAAATACAGCAATACAAAGGCGTATGAAATAATTGTGTAGGCCATGATGAAAATTACCGAGTAATTCACAATGCTTAGAAGAAGAAATAGAAATGGTGGGAGATTTCGCAAAAAAAACAATATCGAGTGCATAGTCGTGTAGGGGTCTTGAGGTTTAAAGGGGAGTAGAGATATAACAACCATATACACGAAAAAATAGTTAACCATTATGGCTCTCTTACAGAAAGTATGCAACTCGGTTATCTGCTTGTAGGTTTTTGGACTGGCATTTGTAATTTTCCAACCATTCTTATTGATTTTGATGTATAAATTTCGCAAGTACTTCTGCATCGCAAATATAGATATACTCACTGCTGCCGTCTAAAAAAATAATTATTTATCCAGACATTTGCGTTGGTACCTAAGTTCTTAGTGGGGTGTGTTCAGAAAATATCGGGAATTTTCGTTTTTTGAAACAAATATTTATTTATTTGTCTACATTAATGTTGTCGCCTTCAAAATAGTCCCCATTGGATTTATGCACATGTGCCAGCTCTTCTTCCAATACTCGAAACACTTCTAAAACTCGATCTTTGGGATAGCCTTTAGTTCTTTCAGCGATGCGCTTTTAATGTCATCTATGCTTGCAAAACGACGGCCCTTTAAGGTTCTCTTTATTTTTGGGAATAGGAAAAAGTCAGACAGAGGCATGTCTGGCGAATATGGAGGCTGGGGCATCATTACAGTATTGTTTTTGGCCAAAAATTTTGTTCAAAATTTAACAATATTAGAACAAATTTTGCTGCCACGCGTTTCATACCCAAAACATTCGAAAAAATTTCATGGGATGAGCCAATCGATAACCAACATCATCAGCGACTTCTCTGATGGTTTATAACCATTTCTTCCATTTTATCCATGTTTTCATCGGTTGTTAATGTGCTTGTGCGTTCGGGGCGTTCGTCATCTTCAACGTCTTCACGGCCATCTTGGAAACTCTTATACCACTTGTAAACTCTTGTTTTACTTATAGCAGACTCACTATAGGCCTTTGTTAACATTTCACAGAATTTATTTAATTTTTTAAGCAAAATTGGATACAAATTCTTTGATCCATTTCTTTTAACAAACGAAAAATCGCCGAGCTGATAAAACACGCCTAACCTTAGCGGCTGCCACAGATAAAGTAAACAATGAAAAAAGCTAAAGATTTTATCATACTTCTACTTAACATAATAAAGAAAATTTTATGACAACCGGACCCTCCAAACCCGCGAAATTATCAATTCCCGTTATATTCTGAACACACCTCGTACGTATATGTTAAATCATATTTATGTTACTTTATTAGTGTTTGTATAAAAAACTGGATTTTGTCGATATCAAACAATAAACGTCTTATTTTATTTAAATATTTTTTTTGTAACCTTTTTTTCAGTCAATCTCGATGCCAATTTTTAGGCTTGAACTTCCCTCACTACGAAGGTCCTTGATTTTAATTGTTAAATGCATGTTTCAATAATTAAAATCAATCAAATCAAATTAAGAGATACAGTTTTCTTGTTAAATTTTTTTGGACTAAAAACCGTTTTCTTCATTCAAAAGAGCAATATATTCCAAAGAAATATTTTTGGTTCTTTCAGTATACATAAGAATACTTACGAATGTATATAAAATGAAGGGAACGCAAAATCTAACCAAAATTACCAACTTAAAATTAAATATGAAATAGTAAATTAGTAGTAGAGCATTAAAAGTACAGTAAAACATCATAACAATGACAGCTTTCCGAAGTCCAGTTTCGAATGGAATCAAAGGAATATTAAGCACATACGCAATTTTATCATCTAAAAAATATTTTTTTAAGTACAATAGAAATAACAAAAAATCCAAACTACATGTATACATAGTTACCTGGATGACTTTTGTGATCTTTAATATAAGTTATAATACTTTGAAAAAAGGCTAAAACTAAAAATTATTAAATGAAAATTAAGTTTTATATAGGATGTAGATAAATAACTTACATGGAAACATTTTGTATGAGAAAACAAAAAATGTATAAAAAATTTTTATATTTTAAATTGAAAACTAATTATATCTTGTCCCCCCCTTAATAAACAAAATACAATGACTACAATCTAAAAACATTAAATCAAAGTTTTAACCTTTAATTTCGTAAATAGGTCAACAAATTACAGATTGATGTTTTCTTTAATATAATTAATTATTTTATCAGGCATATTAATTTTTATAAAAATTTATACAGGGTGACCCACAGCAACAGCAGACTTAAGGTGGAAATAATTAAAACTTTATCTACACAACAAACTTTGTTGTTCACTTACAAGATATAATTTACATAAATTAACATATATTTCTTAGGAAATGACGTTGCAGACAAAAATATTAAAAACCAATACCTGTATTATGTTTATGTTTAGTTTATTCAATATTGAAATAAAAATGTGTACTTCTCAAACACTTCTTCTTTTCTGCATTGGTAAGTATTCTTAATATATTTGTAATTCAAGTATTATTAATATTATTATTTTTTTTTAACTAATATTTAAGTTTTCTTTGGTTTAATTTTTATACATTATTTCATTCGGTGATAATTATCAATTGTGCACCATTGTTACTTTTTACCTGTCAGCATTAAATCCTTTAATTTAAAGGATATCTAGGATTTTTAATAAAAATACCTCATTTAAGGTAAAAAAACATTATTTTGTCAATTAATTAATTTAATCCTAATTGAGGTATAAAAAATGGTATTTAGTTATAAATAATAATTATTATTGAGGTATAAAGAAACTATTAATATTGTAATTTGGAGCACCTACTTTAATTAAAATTTAAAAAATAAATAAATAAATTTAAAAAATTAAACCAAGTATTTTATTCAAAAATTAATAGTTTTAAGTTGAATGACTCACCCTGTATCTAGACCTACAAAACATACCAATAATTTTGTTTAAAAACTGTTTAAAATGTATATGTTTCAGTTTTTAATTTAACTGAAGCCCTGGTACTGGACACTTGTTCATCTTCACAAATTTATAGTAAGAAATTATACCTATGTACATTATTTAGTGAATTAATTTTATTTATCCATTTATCTAGGCAAACATGCTTGTGAAGATGAAGAAATGGTGTTATCCTGTCCCAAAGACCTGGTCATTAAAATTGCAAGTTCCATATATGGCAGAACTAGAACCGATATATGTCCTGGACCAATACACAATACATCTTGCAAAGCTCCCAGCAGTCAATTTATTTTGAACAAAGCGTATAGAATTACAACTTCAGTAATTATTTTAATATTGCTGTAACTTCATTTTAGTTGTTCTGGAAAAAATGAATGTACCATAAGAGCTGACAACGATATTTTTGGAGACCCATGCTTGAACACATTGAAGTATTTGGAAGTGAAGTATTGCTGTATATTTATAATAGCCCCCAACCCAGTTGGCTGTGATTCCGCACCTCAAGGTAACACTATTATGCCCGGTACTGATGAGACTTCTCACTGTTTTAAGTTTGATATACATACATGTATATTTTTTAGTTGAAACTGCTTGCAGTTCCAAAGTTTTAAGTCTTATCTGCCAAGTGGGGACATTGAAAGTATTGAGCGCGAATTATGGTAGAACCGACTCAGATACCTGCGCATACGGTCCAATTGAAACTACGAATTGTCATGCTGAAAACTCCACCGAAATTGTGTCAAAGAGGTATGAAAAAGTTGATTAAAAAATATGGTCTGGTACCTACTCGAGTACACGTTTTTAAATTTTGTACTTTTTACTGTGTGATTTTTTTTTCGTAAGCCCTTGTAGCTAACTACTACTCATGGGTCCTTTTCTTTTTTTTTGTACTTCTCGAGAACTAACTGTTTACTTTTACTGAAAACATAAACTGTATTCTAATTTTTAGGTGTAATAGCAGGAGTGAATGCAATGTTTTTGCGGACTACCATGTTTTTGGTGACCCATGCTTTGGAACTTTTAAATATTTAACCGCTCAATTTTGTTGCAAATGGGATCATTAATTAGTAAATGGAAACTTGGACCCTGGACCAATACAAATGTTAAAAAAAAATTCAAATGTTCAATACAAATGTTAAAAAAAAATTCAAATGTTCAAGTTGTGTTTAAGTGTTTAAGTAAATAAACACCAAATGGGTACTATGACTATTTATTGCTTTATAATTTATAATCACAGCTAGTCGCTTAATTAAGTAAAATTGTACTTAAATACAAGTTTAGAAATAATAAAAACAATCCAAATCAACACCATGCTGCAGGATAAGGCTGGACTTGAGTTCAGGATTACACTGCCGACAATTGTAATTCGCCCTTGCACTTCGGGATACACGGGACTGTATTTCTCGAGGTACCACTGAACAATGTCCACGTCGTTCAGGTCCTCGGTTTTTTGGTTGAAACTCTTGGTCTTCAGGATCGTGTGGCCATCTCCACCTTCCGTCAAAAAGCTGATGGACACCACGTTGTAGGTCTCTTTAGGGTCCAAATCTAGGTATCTAGGTATCCAGCAGTTGCCACATCTTGCTTTGACGTTGCTGATTCTGTGCATGGGGGGTTTGGACCAATCCACGGTGTACTTTAAGCCCGATACTTGTAGGAACTCACCGCGAGAAGAAATGCCATCGAATCTAGCACCTTGCTCCAAAACTTGAAGCAAATCATCTCCCATAATCTCAAGCGTTATAATTCGATTGTCGAAAGGTAACGCACCCATAACATCAGCTCTGGTTATATTACCATTGGCGACAGCCGGGTCTATGCTGTTCCTAATGCCACCACCATTCACCAAGCCTATTGGCACTTTCGTCCAGAATTTACCACCGGTTAATGAAGCGACATATTGCACCAATGAATCTGCTAGGAGGTTGCCAAAGTTGCACTCCTCCATCCTACATCTATTAGCATCGCCGTCCAAAAGAACTTTAGTTTTGCCGATGACCTGTTTGCTGAGCTCTGCTACTCTAACTCTGTAAGGCTCTAACATGTCCAGCACGTCTTTATCCTGTGGAATGGTGTGATCCAGTAGTATTGGTTGACCATAAAACTCAACCAAGTCGCCTTGATCATTGAAAGTAACGTTGAGAACCCCCATATACTTAGTGTAAGCATAGGCTTGCACCACGGGTACCTTCTTACCCGATTTCTGCGTGACCACTTTAGGGTACATATCTTCAGGCGTTTCCAAATCTGGGGCCTTCCCGTTCCAGAGAAAAGTGTTGGTGTGCCCGCCAACAACAACATCCACGAGCGGTACTTTAGCAGCGATTTCTTGATCCACAGTAAACCCCGAATGACCAAGTGCTATAATAACTTTAACACCTTGTTTATCCAGACGCTCGCTCTCCTCGATCAACGAGTTTATTTCGCTGCTGAATATAACAGCCCTGGTTTGGGATATCTGGATGGTTTCCGGTGTTAGAAAGCCGATAACGCCAACCTTAGTGCCTTTAACCTCGAGCACCACGGATTTTTTCACCAGATTCACCAACGATGGTTCGTTGGTGAAGTTCAGGTTTGCTGCTAGAACTGGGAACCGTGCTTCCTCCAGGAACGGTTCCAGGCCATCCGGTGAGCTGTCAAACTCGTGGTTTCCAAGCGACTGAAAGTAGAAAGTTTTAAATTTTTAAACCCATCATAGGTGGGTGAATCTCACGAAATGTCCCCCGATGGTGTTACCCCGTGATATTTAAAACAAAATTAATTATTTTTTACAATGTTTTAAAAGTCTAAAACCTATCCTCCGTTACTGTCTTTCTAGGTTAACCTATATGTTTTCAAATTTCTGAGGTAGTAAAAGCATACTAAAAATATCAGTTCACCAAGTAAATTAAACACATCCAAAGCAATCGAATAATCAAATATAAAATATTATTCAAAATTAAAAGAAATAATTTTTATAACCATTTATGAAGGTGTTACAAAAATTGATTCTATCCTCCGTGAATCTGTTTTTGCTTTAAATTTTATGCAACGGATGGCGCTTTATTCATTTTAAATAAGCAAAAACCTCTGTTTACGACTTTATAGATCCATGTGATTCCTGAAGGTCAGTTAAAATTTATATGCAGATGAGAGTGTTGCTGTTTTACAATTCAAAAATTTAAGTTCATTAATTTGCTATTTAAAAACCTATCCACCGTGAACTGTAATATCTCAGTAAGTAGATTTTTTTATAAATATTTTATGTACAATTGTATTTTTAAAAAATATTAAGGTGTCAAAAGGTACAATAACTTATTTATAAATATAAAAAGGGATGTTAAAAAAAACATACGAAATCCTAACCTCCGTGAAGCTATCTTCCGTGAAGCTCTAATATTCAAAATGTATGATTTCTTAAAATTCTTGCATTTGTGCAGAATTACTTATGTTATGTTATTACTAGACCATAAATAAAAAATAATCATTTTCACTTGGGGGGACATCTCAACATATTCACCCATATTTACCATGGCATCAGGTTTCAGCACGTTCAAAAAATCCACGCATATTTTCCATTTGTGAACGCTGTACCAAACGGTACCAGCGTACGTGTCGCCAGCATTTAAATACAGAACTTCAGGAACTTCACCTTTTGCAGCCTTGCTTCGAAAATCTCTGATGACATGCGCAGTCCTTGGAAAACCACCGTAACAGCTTAAGTTCTTGTTGCTTTCCTTACAAGTACCTAAAATGTACCACTTTAATTCACATTTCCAAAAAACGTGCCAAATCAATTTGCTAGGTACTTGTATTTAAATCATAAAAATAATAATGTAATTATTTTTGTTGTGGATTATTTAAAATTAAATACCATGAAATTACTGGTTTTAATGTTCAATGATAATATTTGTCACCTTGTCTTTGTTTATATTTAATTGTAATAAAAATAAAGATATATAGATAATACTACATTTATTTTAACTAAAATTGATAACCATTTATTTTTAATAGTGAATGGTGGCTATCTTTTGACTAAAGACTAAAACAACAAAGTTAATTAACAAAACAATAAAAACTTTCAAAGTGACTGACTTAAGTTTAAATTAAACTTCAAAATCAATTAATGCAACAAGTTGGCAGGGCAAAGAACAGGTCCGGACTTTAAGCAAGAATAGTATTTTTACCTAGGTTTCTCAAAATGAGGGTTTTATGAATAAGATGTTGCCAGATCGTGCCACATACATTAAAATTAATTAATGGGTTTAGTGTATATGTAATAAATTTTCACATGCACTAGTTTTAATGAATTTGATGCGTTGGTATGTGGTAGTAAGTAAACTTGATAAATCAGCAATTATTAATAGCAATGTATTTTTAGATTGGGTTATGTAAATTCAATAAAAATCCACAAAAAAATGCATTTCTAGTAAATGAGATGTCTAACTTTTGTATACCTATATAAATAAAATTACCTAGGTACTACCAAATTTTATTTATAATACAAATTAAACAAACCATTGTAAACATTTTAAAGATAACAAAAAAATAACGTTGTAAAATTAAATAATATTTATCAAATATAAGAAAAATAAACATAAGGTTTAAAATATCAAAAGTCACATACCTGTATTTTTTGACGTTTCCTCGAATCTAGAGTGCATATCATTGTTGTGCAGCAAAACCAACTTCAAATTTTCGCAGCAAATGCCTGCTAGGAAAACAAGCAAAAAAACAATTGGCACTGACCTTAGCATCTCGACTTAAGTACTAACAATAAGACTAGAGACTGAGCATTGTGCGCTTAACGCGGAAATGTTGCAACGCCGCTTGCGCATTTGTTTTTTAATTTTACTTTCTTCTCAGAAGGTTTAATATTTTAAAAGATCTGAAGCTACCAAGTTAAATAGTCTAATCTATGTCAATTTTATTTTAAAAGTTATTACCGCGTTATCACAAATTCCAAAAATACTGGAAATTTTAAAACCCCCAACCAAAAATAAGTAATTTATGAATATGTATTAAATATTTTAAAACTACATATTTTAATTAATTGTATAACTGGTTAGTAGCGCCATCTAGCGGCGAGTAGAGCAACTTTTATCGTCAATAAAGAAATTTACTTATTTTTAAAAATTAACAATTCAAAATACAGTAGATGTAGCACAACATTTCATACAAATTTAAGCAAATAATAAATAAATTTTACCTTTGGGAAACACTATTCTCCCAAATAAGGATTTATATGTTATTTATTCACCACTTTATTAAAATGCAGGGGATTACCAGTGGTGTATCACCACCCTTATTTTTGTGTTATAAAACAAATATATTTACCTGATACGCTTGTGGTTTACGAAAGAAAATTTTATATAAAAATAAGGGAGGGTAGAAAAATATTCGTAGTTATGTGGACAGTCTTCTATATTTTAACCGTGTCTGTTGGTGTAAATTCGCTAAATTATTTAAGTTATATTCATGATGGGTTAGATAAAAATTTAAATTATTTGGAACATAATGTTAATAGAGTTAATATTGACTGTACTTTAGGTGTAGTTTTCGCAAAAGGTAACAATTTTAATGTACCAAATAATAACAAAACAACAAAAATTTTACAGTATTTTTAGAAGATGTTCAAAACTTTGATAACCCAACGAAAAATTTGATTTCAAAAATGGATTCAATAATTAAAAAATCAAAAGAAAGGTTTATAAAGGAAAACTCCACACTATGGGGTTTGTACAAAATATTTTGTTGTATGGAGAAAAAATGTAATGTAATATTTTAGCAGTTGAAAATATCTTAAGTGAAGAAACTTGGAGGAGAGATATCACATTTAAAAATAACAGTTTTATCGACATAAATCTTAATATTGATAGAAATGTTATGAAGAAAATATTTACAGAACAAAAGTTAAACGTTTCTACAGATAAATGTTTCAAAACCATTATAACTGATACCGCAAATCAGCAGAGATTTAATTTATGTGATATTGGTGAAAATTGTTTAAATAATTATATAGAAAATGACCAGGCATCTGGGTATATTTTAACTCATAGGTACCTATGTAAATTTTTCCAATATCTCCTCACAAGAAATCGTTAGACCCATACATTTCTCTAAAAATAATTTTTCTAGATTAATGCTTCTACAGTTTATGAGGGCAAGAAAATGTTATTTAAACCAAAAAATTTTAAAAGACAAAATAAAAAATACTTGTTTTTTGATATACAGACAGTTAAAAACAGCAGAGTATTATGGAGAATTGAACGCAATTCTCGACCTAATGCTGGAACAAAGTACTTATTATACTATTATTTTTTTACAATTTAATTATTTAAAACGAATATTTGTAGTTGTTTTGTGTGGTTACGAAGGATATAAAGAATTCCTGCAAATAAAATATCTCGAGTTTATTCTACACAGCCAAAAATCTACAGGGTGTTTCGCTGCTTTCCCACAAAAAAATGCAAAAAGGTTCAAGAAGAGCATTCAATATTTTGAAGATGGTTGTGCTGATCACACCACAGGCCTTGCTACTGCTGTACTGAGCTTATATTATAACTATGTAACGAAGCTTTAATAAATTTATGTTTATCGCTTGTATATTATTTTATTTCGATACGCACTGTATATCACTATATCTGAGTATAGCAATAAAGAAGGTCTTATCATTTGACCTTAGCGTATTGGTAATATAATTATTTTAATTTGTGTTGTCAGTTGTAATAGTGTAAAATGGAAATAAATTTTAAGGGAAAATGTGCGTTGGTTACGGGGGCTACACAAGGTATGATTTGTAAATTATACAACAGTTTTTATACAGTTTAAAATGTGATTTTTAGGCATTGGGAGAGAGATAGCTATACAACTCCACAAAGGAGGAGCTAAGGTTATAGCGGTTGGAAGGAACAAGAATCTTTTGGGTAGAAAAACTACTTTAGTCTTAAGTCTTATTAAGCATATATTTTTTTAGATACCTTAAAAGGCGAGTTTCCACAAATAACAACCATACCTCTGGACCTCGCAAATTGGAGTGAAACTGAGAAATTATTGAACAAGGACAAAATTGGTCCTGTGGATCTTCTGGTTAACAATGCTGGGTTAGCGGTGCTAGGCCCTCTAACAGAAGTTCAAGAAAGTGATGTCGATAGGTAGGTATATAAAGTATAAATATGGTGTTTAAAACAAAATACGACATTTCAGGCTGCTGAATATCAACGTTAAGGCTCTTATACACGTCACGAAACTGGTTGTTGCCAACCTGCTGGCGAGAAAAACCCCAGGCGCGGTGGTGAACGTCTCGTCGCAAGCCTCGCAGGCCGGCCTCTTGAACCACACCGTCTACTGCGCAAGCAAGGGCGCGGTGGACGCGTTCACGCGCGCCTGCGCTTTGGAATACGGCCCTAGCGGCATCAGGGTGAACGCCGTCAACCCTACCGTCATCATGACGGACATGGGGCGGCTGGGCTGGTCCGATCCCGGCGTGGCCAATCCCATGCTCCAGAAAATTCCGCTGAGAAGGTATGGTAGCGCGGTCTAAGAGTGCGCAGTACCGCTGCGCACTCTTGGACCACCTTACCTATTTTTTTTAATTTTTAGGTTCGGGGAAGTCAATGAAGTTGTAGATGCCGTGCTATACTTTCTGAGTGACAAATCGAGCATGATAACCGGCACAACGCTTGCTATAGATGGCGGGTTTTTGGCTTGTTAATAAAATTATATATTAATAAAGCGTTTTTTGTTTATTTATTTATTACTTTATAGATAAAAATAATTATCTTTGCCATGCCATATGTATCATATATTATAGTATCTAGATTATTAAGTGAAAATGCTGAAACTAAAATTTGTTGTCTTTTGTATTTTATTTTTCGAAAACTCTGCATTTTTGGAAAATGAGGTTATGTTAGCAATTGACAAAGTGCTTAATTATATGGATAAATATTACCTGGACTTAAATATTGACGCCATTTTTGGGCTCACTTTAGCAGAAGGTATGTTTTGAACTAACAAGGTACTTTCAATACCCAAAAAAAACATATTTTAGCTCATTTAGAATTGGCACATACACATTCCAAAAATATTAAACAAAAGAAACATATTAACTCGTTTTTGAAAAAATGTGATGAAATAAAAATTAAGGCGCTCCCAAATTTACCGACTACACCGAAAAAAATGATTTTATGTAAGAAAAATTGAGGGTTATAGACGTCAACGTCAACGTAACATAATTTTAAATCTGACAACATTGTACATTAGACTGGGCCAAAAAAATCAACTATTTTTTTTTGAAAAGTATATCTACAAAAAAGGTTAAAGTAAAATTTTCCGTCAGATGGACCGTTTCCTTAAAATCATGCCTTAAAAATTGGTATACTTTTACATTTTGATCTTTTAAATTGGAATTTTGTAATTCATGTAAAAATCAGTACCCATAAAAAACCGATAAATATTCTTATGGGAAATCAAATGCTTTACAAAAAAAAGCCTCTTAACATTTTTGGCTAAATTCACTCTATCAAAAGTAATTCAAGGTTAAAATTTCGTTTTGCCTTCAAATTTAACCTTGAATAACTTTTGATGGAGTGAATTTAGCCAAAAATGATAAAATACTTTTTTTGTAGAGCATTTGATTTTCCATAAGAATATTTATCGTTTTTTTTCAGGGTACTGATTTTTACATTAATTACAAAATTCCAAAGTTAAAAGATCAAATTGTAAAACTAAACCTATTTTTAAGGCATGATTGTAAGAAAACGGTTCATCTGACGGGAAATTCCAATTATACCTTTTTTGTAGAGCATTTAATTTTCTTCAAAAAATATTTTTAAGTCAATTTTGTTAAACTCAATGATTTGGGAGTTCTGAGACAAAAACTCGCTCAGGAAAAAAAAAATCTAAAATTGCGATGATAGACCTCTTAATATTAATAATATGGACTCAAACTTTCACAATAATTTTTTTTTGTCACCCCAAACCATATTTTCGATATATTTTTCAAAAAAAAAATAGTTGATTTTTTTTGGCCCAGTCTATTGTACATACATTTTTTTAGTTCAAAACATAATGTTGAACTCCCCAAACTGGAAACACCATTTGAAACCGTTCAGACTAGGCCAAATCCAAAATTTAGGGTTATACACCAACTGGACTTCCACTGACATCTTAAAAAACCGCGAGGCATCTTACAAAGGAGTACCGACTGACGTATGCTTGGAAGAACTTCTATCAAAGTCCAAAAAGTATTGTTTTGTAAGCCCCTTATGTAAACAAATGATGTTGGGAATAAGAACCGATACAGGATACCTTTTAACACATAGATTACTCTATTTGCAGTTATTACAGCTTATAGACTGCCAAATACCGAATATTTCTATTGAAGGTTATATTAGAGACTTCTGCTCACTAATATATAAGGAACTAAAAACCAGTGCTCATCTAAACTACCCATATCATGACAAGTTTTTGGAACAAAGTATTATATTTTATAACTACTTAGTGGATGATAATTAATATTACAACAAATTCGTTGTAGTTTTGCTGTGTGGTCAAGAAGGCTTCGCAGAAATCCTCAAAACCCATTGGCTGAGTGAAATTTTGACATGGCAGCAACCTCAGGGGTGTTTCAAAAGCATTACAAGCACTAGAATGACAAGAAGCAGCAATGTTATTGCATTTGGTTGTAGTGATCACAGCACAGGCCTTGCTAGTGGTGTTTTGGCACTTTATTTGAGATTTTTATCGGTTATGTAGGCAACTCAGTTTACATGCGGGTTGCCTACTTTTAAATGCGAGTAAGTAATCATGGAATAGAAAAGGAAAAACATGTGTTGATTGTTCCTATAGTATACATACATATAAATAAAAATTTGCAAAAAAACTTTACCAAGTATTATTAACCTTCAATGGTCTAGGTCACATATTGCTCATTCGGTCGTACTCATAGGTATAATATATATTTCCTTATATAATATACGTACTTGGCACAAAAACTTGAAATTACATTGTCTTGACTTGTTATACACATATTGGTAAAAAATTAATTGTTAAAAAACATGTGAAGAATTTCAGAAAAATATGACTGAGTCATCAATTTCCTGGAAACACGATTATTGTAATCTGAATTTTTATGACTAATGTCAATATTCTCAATGATTCAAACAGGCATTTTAAATTCTTTAAGTGTAAATTATTTCTTTTCGTTTATAAACTTTTTTAGACTAAAGAGACTAAAATCGCGATTTTATGTAAATGGTAAATGGTTTTGGCCCGTGACTGATTTATTTTAATTTTATCTCTGGTACCTAATTAAATTTGTTGAACTCGTATGTACATGTAACGCTCTGTTTTACCAAATTAATAGGACTTCCTAATAATAAACATAATAAAATATTAAAGAAACCATAACGAACCACCTATGTTTTAAAACTTCATTAAAAACACCTGTTAACATTGACATTGGCTTTTCAAGGACACACCTGTCAAGTAATACAGTGAACTTGATTTTGTTGAGAATCTAGTTATTTTCGTCAATCTGGCAACCGAACACCTGGCGTAATTAATTGTTGGAAAAAACAATAATTAACAACTGTCAGATTAATTCAAGCTGTATTTTTGCTTTCAATAAAAAGGCATTAAGTTTGTAAAAGTGGTGTTTTTGTGCCCTTTAGTCACACAAAGTTCAACAGGTTATGGGCCCAGCTCGTGTGCTATCGTGTGAACTATAGTTTGTGATTAGAGGTTCGGACAATCGGGTTACCTCACGTATCTTTCGTCGCGATTACGTTCCTGTGTGTTTTCTTCGATACCATTCTCGTTCGAGTACGTCCTGCTCTAAAATAAAATGGATTACGTGAAAGGTATAAAACCACTGAAAGGGGCAGAAGATTGGCAGACGTGGAAAGACAAAGTTTTGGATGTGCTAGAGTTGTTTGATGCTGTAAAAATTGTTGAGGGAACTAGAGTTCAGCCTGCTCTCTCGGATACACCAACTGCAGAGCAGAAAAAGGATCTAGAGGCCTACACGAAATCGGCGAATCAAGCAAAAATCGTCATATCTCAATGCGTGAGCGATGAACTACACCAACGAATATCAGGCAGATTATCAGCTAAGGAAGCGTGGGACGTTTTAGTTGAGCAGTTTGATAACAAGGCGGAGGATCAGTTGTTTCGTCAATTTCTTGATTTCTTTAGCATGGAATGGGATGATACCGAAAATGCCCCATCTATGATATCGCGAGTGAAAAATCAACACCGAGAGTTTGCTGCTGGTTTGAAAACACGTCAAATTCAAACAGTTGAGGCATTTCTTGAGTTGCTGTTTGTTTCAAAGGTAATGCACATTTTACCTAAGCGTTTTGAGTCGTTTAAATCAAGCTACCTCCTGCTGAAAGCAAATAAAGATAAAACTATTGAAGATATCTCGTCATCATTGATTCTTCATGAGCGTAATGTTGCACCGGCATCAAAAATTGGTGATGTTCTGAGCGCCACCAACGCTCCTGGTGGTCAGAAGAAGAAACTGAGCAATTCGAAGTGTAAATATTGTAAAGCCAAAGGGCACTGGGTGCGCCAGTGTGAAAAATGGAAAGCTGACGGAAAACCTCCATATCCAGCGCGTGCTAGTAATACTGGCTCAGCCTCGGCTGGTAGTAGTGGGGGTGAATCAAAGGGTTCTCACGTCAACGTTACTGATTCACGTGTCGCGCTTGTTTCTATCAGTAGTGACGTCAACATAGCTACCACAAACGATCAATGGTGGATAGATAACGGTGCTACTCGGCATATTACGTCAAATCTTAGCTGGTTTACTGACTACAAGCCCTTTCCAGTGAATGCTGATGCGACAGTAAAGGCTGCAGGAAAAGAGGTCATCAGGGCTCATGGCAGTGGAACAATCGAAGTGGCTAACTACGATAACGGCAAGCTAAGAGTGTTTACTCTCAATGATGTATGGTATGTGCCCGACATATCACGCAATCTTGTGTCCGTCCTTGCGGCTCATGATCGAAATCCTGATAGCAAGTTTGAGTCGACTGACACACAGTGCAAATTTTGTATCAAGGGACAGACAATATTCAAGGGTACTCGAAATATGGGTGGAACTCTCTTCCGCGCCTCATTCCGGACAGTTCAACCGGCGGAAGTCTGTGCTAGTATAGCTGAAGCTGATCAAACTCTTCAACTGTATCATCAGCGCTGGGGACACATGGACAAGCGTTACGTTCGTTCAAAGATCGAATCGGAACTAGGTATCAAAGTGCCTGCTGACAGCGAGATCTGCGAGCCATGTCAGCTTGGAAAGGCACACCGTTTACCGTTTGGAACCAGAGCACGAGCTTCTTACCCTGGAGAATTATTATCTGGAGATGTGTGCGGCCCGTTTGATCCATCGTTTAATGGTCGACGCTACTTGATAGTCATCAAGGATCATTATTCAAGGTACCGCTATTGCTTTGTTGCCAAGGAGAAAACAGCAGTAAAGGAGGCTATTCGGGAGGTACTTGCTAAAGCACGCACACTTGGTCATCATGTTAAGGAATTCCTCAGCGACAATGGCGGGGAGTTTGACAATGGCGATGTGCGTCAAATCCTAAAGAATTACGGGGTAAATCAGCGATTGACCGCCCCCTACACGCCAGAGCAGAATGGAGCCGTGGAACGTGAAAACCGCACGATTGTGGAAATGGCGCGTGCATTCAAGTACTCAAA